TTTAATTTTGTTTAAGTTTCCTTGCTTTCGGGATAGGTATACCACTGATTTTATATGTCTTTGAAATATGCTATTTCTTGTCTCTCCTTCCTTTCTTATCCTGTCCTTCTGTTTTCTTTGCAATTTCTTCACTTTATTAATGTTAAAAGATATATTTATTTATATGTATGGAACTGAGGTACAGGCCAGAGGTGTATGGGTGATGAGAGGATTCACCAGAGACAGAGTGGGGAGCAGAACAGGCAGATCAACGAAGCACACTGCTGAGGGGAGCAATGGGAGAGTCAGGAGAAGACTGCCGTGCCATGTGGGTCACCTCCATGGTGGGGGATTGAAAGTACATTGAAGCAGTTGTGGCTGGCTTTCAGTGCTGTGTCCTAACCTGTTGCACCACCAGGGAGGGCCTTTTCACTTTATTTATTTATGCATATAATAACAGTGGTATAGGCCAGAGGTATGGGGTAGTGAGAGGATTCACAGAGACAGAGTGGGGAGCAGAACAGGTGGAGTGACTAAAACACACTGCTGAAGGGAAATCAGGAGAGGTCTGCTGTGCCATGTGGGCTAGCTCCCTGGGTCTTCACTTTATTTTTTAAGGTTTATTTTTATTGACTTATACATACAAGAATGGGGCTGTAGGCTAGATGTGCATGGGGGCTAGGATTAACCAGAGACAGAGGGGGAGCAGAATAGGTGGACCTACTGAAACGCACTATTGAGGGGAGCAGCAGGCAAAGCAGAAGAGGTTGGCTGTGCCATGGGGGTCAGCTCCCTGGCAGGGGTTGGAACTCTTGCTTCAGTGGCTGGTGATAGTTTGATAGCACTGAGACTTTAAACCCTGCACCACTAGGGAGGCCCTTACTTTGACTTTTTTCCTTCTAACTTCTGAACTTTTTTCTTTCTTCTCTTTTATGAAAATAACTGCTACCTATTTAAAAAGAAATAGGTAGAACAGCATAGAAAAATCTACTATTTGTATCCAGTGCTAAGTACAGGATAACTCACTTAATTTTTCCTGGACCTTGACCAAATCCCTTGGCTTCCAATTTTCGATAGAAATTACGGAGCTTGGCCTCAAAGTCTCTTCGGTAGGGTGAAGGTGCTCTTGCACTGGCTCTCTGTAAACCTACAAAGAGAAGCAGACAGGCTGATTATGATCACTTTTTATAAAATAGTAAATATGTGCAGGGCAATAGTAGAAGAAAAGCCAACCAGACAGTCATTCCTACCTCTTCAATTTGTATTGCTCCAAGAAGCTTCCTCTGATTTCTAACACACTTTCAGTTTTATAATAAATAGAAATACAGAAAAGAATAAACACTGATGAAAGTATGTCTTCCACTTCAGATTGTACTTCAGAATATTTTCCTTGGCTTACTTTTATTTATGCAATTTAAAACAATATAAATCAAATTAAATAGTTCTTATAAGATGCTATAAGAAATGATTGTGACTACAAAGAGGCAATGAGGATAATAATATATGTGGCTGTGGTTGCCGTACTACTTTAACTATGTTGATATTCATGCATTTGATATATATGCACATCTGTCTACTAGGGCTCAGAGAATTTATTAATTTATATTAGATTATCATATATATATATATAATGACTCCTTGACCCTATATAGAGGAGTGTATCACAGAGTGTTTTGTAAATACATTTTATCTTTAAATATATATACATATATATTTAGATTTATTTATTTATGCGTACAGAACTGGGGTTCGGGCCAGAGGTGCAGGGGTGGTGAGAAGATTCACCAGAGACAGAGTGGGGAACAGAACAGGCATATCAACAGAGTACACTGCTTAGGCGTGCAGTGAGCAAGACAGGAGAAGCCTGCTGCACCATGTGGATCACCTCCGGTGTGGGGGAATTGAACTCTTACCAAAGCCAGCAGTGGCCAGCTTTGCAGTGCTGTGCTTTAACCCGCTGAGACACCAGGGAGGGCTACCTTTATATATCTTTTAATGAGAAATTAAATGAAAAAACAAATAGCATTCCCCACCAACTTTCACAGAAGGCCCAAATCATGATCTGGGCTTTCAATAACTATATTCTAATTATTGAATTTACAATCAAGAGAACACTGATATAAATTAACTCACAGAAATGAGAATAATTATAAGTTGAGATGATTGTTTTCATAAGGGAAGAGACTCAGTTTTGTGAAATCATAGAATGCTCTGACCAAATGCATGAAGGTTTCCTTGGGGAAATATATAAAGCATAAGTAGGTATGAATTGGATTGAATGAGTCAGGGAAGACTTTCATTTAACTAAGAGAAGAGATGATAAAAAGGAAGATAAATCTAAACAGAGTATCATAATGTACAAAGGTACTATAGCAGAATAGAAAGGGTATATAGGTAAATGAGAATACAGGATGTGATGACCAGAGTGATACAAATTAAGGTTTGAGAGGCAAGCAAATGACATTTCTAATAGGGTAAAGTACATTATGTTAAGAATTTTATTTAAAGATGTACACATAATATGAGGTGACTTAACTTATGAAAACAGAAGGGTTTTTTTAGTGTTTTTTATTTGTTTCTTTTTCACAATAGCAAGAAAAAAACTAGAGGATCAGAAAATATTTAGAGTTTAAATTGGATAGGGTAGTTTCAGTGTAGATGAGAGTGAATAAATTAGAGATGTGTTTAGGAGACAATGAATTGGCTATAAATAGAGAGGGAGAGTTGGTTTTCAGGGAGAGGTGGACTGTGGTAACATCCACTGAGATGGACAACAAAAGAAAAAGAACAAATTTTGGACGGAGATCATGTTTGTCTTTAATGGCCATAACTCTAATGTTTGCAAAGTTACATAGTTTGAGACGTAAGAGAAAAAACCCAGAGCTGAGTCTTAAGGATGGTAGGAAATTAAGGATGAGTTGGCAAAAGAAATAGATGAAAGGCACACTATAATGCTAAATGAAGAGTTGACTTACGGGCAAAGCAATAAATAGCTTTACATAAGCTGAAAAAAACAGGAGAAAGACTAAGAAAGAATTACTCACTGTACTGAGTTTCAAGAGTTCATGGCATTTGTGAGGGTAGAACTCTGGTGAACAGGGGAGAGGATTAACATATTTGGGAGGTTTATACAATAACATAATTTGAGAAAAGTCTAATAGCTTTAGCTTTCTTGAAGGAAGAAAGGATATCATTTACTAGGAGGAAAACACAAAGGTTAGAGGTTTGAGGAGGAATGTGAATGTTTCAAATAGCAGCAGAAAAGAGAACAAGTTTACCAAAGAAATGTGGAAGAATGTACTTTAGGGTATTAAAGATTGATGTGAGGTGATAGGCAATTAATTTATAATAAGTAATCTGATCTACCAGGTGAATTTGCCTTATTACAGATGTAGGGGAAGCAGATCATAAATTTCATCTAGAGGTGGAGTTCTACAAAAGAAATGGAGAGGATCAGGAAAGTTTAGGGCCCTGGCGATGACATTAATGGAATGATCAACCACGGATCAAACTGGAACAGTGAAAGACTGCTAGAAAGAAAAGGAGAGGGTTTGGTCCATAATATGGGCATTTGGTGAAGCCAGAGGATAATATCAGGGAAAGTGTTTAAGTGAGCATGTTGGATAGGAAATGGATATTTGAGTTATTGATTTTAGAGATGACAACAGGGCAAGAAGGTGACTGTGAGATAGTCAAAGAGTAGAAAGCAGGAGCTCTAAATAGGTGTCCTTGTGCATGCTGACCTCATCCAGTGTGACAAAGGGGGCTTAGGGACTCTATTTAACATGTGTCACAGTCTTGGAAAATGACCAAGAATTTGTTGGATGATAGCAACTGGGAAGAGATACACTTAAGTGGTGTAGCAAAGAAACTTTGAGGGCACCAGCCTCACCTTTGGACCTGAAGTACCTGAGGTATAAGGAAACCAGTAGCTATCCCCTGAAGTGTTTCTACAGTGTAGTACCAGATTTCACAATACAGGTAGAACTATTTTTTTGTCTTTATTTGTACAAGCATAATTTTTCAGTACAGGAGATAATAGTATACTTTTATAACATGGCTGATGGTACTACCATTCTCTCCCTAGTGTTAATCATTTCTGCTGTACAAGCTACTTTGGAATTAAAAAACAAAGATTTATTTATTTATGAATAAATAAACTGGGATACAGGCCAGAGTTACAGGGATGGTGAGAGGATTTACCAGAGACACAGTGAGGAGCAGAACAGGCCAACTGATGAAATGCACTGCTGAAGGGAGCAGCAGGCAGGTCAGGAGAGGCCTGCCACGCCATGTAGGTCACCTCCAGGGTGGAGATCAAACTCATACTGAAGTGGCTTTAAGCCTCTTAGTGCTGTTCTTTAACCTGCTGTGCCACCACAGAGGGCCTACTTTGGAATTAAGTTAATTTCATAAAAGTGTAGGAAAGTGGAAATTTTAAAATGTAACTTCAAAATATCTGACATGTAATTTATAACCTCATAGTCATAGCTAGGAAAATAAAAAAAAAATTTGAGAAAAGAAATTGCTGATTGCTCCAATTCATGGCATCAGCAATAGCTCTATTACAAGGACAATTGATTCCATTTATAAAGGTTATTGTGCAAAAACTATCCTCATTTTTCTAATTGTAATATATACCTTTTATAGAATGATGTTACAATAAGACTCCACTTCCAAAGGTTTGGTCCAAAAAACATAAGCAAATTATTAAACTGGCATAATCTATGGCAATGCAATATGCAGACTATATATCAACAGTTCCCCTAAGTGGAATGTTCTGTGCCCCAAAAGTAAGCAACTGGTGTGTACTGGCAACTTGACTGTGTTGACAGAGAGTGGCTCTGACAAAGCTTCTGGTCCTCTTCTTCCCAGACTGTGGCCTCTCAACTACATTGCATGTTGGAGGTTCCATGAATTGAGCATTTCCTTAACAACACCCTTGGTACAGTGTATGTTTGGAGGAAGTAACAAGGAGATATTGACTTAAGAGTAGATTTCAACAAATAGTAAATTTACCTCTGTGAGACAATTCTAAATGAAATGATGTAGAGGAGTCAAGTTTATAGATATTCTAGTTTTAGAGATCTAGGACAGTATTGAGTGACACTGAGTGAGAGTCAGAGCATATTGCTAAATTCTGTTTTTTGTTTTGTTTTGTTTTGTTTTTTAATTTCCCCATTAGTTTCAAAGGCCATATTTGGACTCTGAGTCTAGTGGTTGTGAAACAGGAAGTTATTAGGTTTCTTCACTTTCAAATTTTTAAAAAGAAATTTATCACCACCAAGACCTAAATGTGATAATACAATCCAAGTAAGTGAGAACATTTTCAAATACCTGGATAGATCCCATTTAGGAGTATGGGTTTGACTTAAACTAATTATCTTGATGAATTTACAAAAAATATACTTCTTGCACTGAATAGATCATTTGGGATGGAAAATACCTACCTCTCAAGTAAATGCATTACAAAGGAAAGAAAACTTTAGGGGAACATTTTCACCATATGAGAAAATTTTGGCATTTTCATGGAACATAATAAAGCCCTTAATAACCATATTTACAACATTGAAAAGTAACCAAATCTAGGCATTTAGTAACATTGAGTCTTAAGGCTGAATGTTTCAGAAAGGAAGGTCCTTTCTCATGGTAAGACCCTTTTAACGGTTTGGACAGTACATTTGTAAGACAGCAATTTCAAGAAGGAGTAGGCAGATTGAAAATATATTTGTAAAGGACTAAACAGTAAATATTCTAGGCTTTTCATCATATAGTCTCTGTTGTTTCTACTTCACACTCTTATTACAGTGTGAAAGCTGCCATAGAAAATATATAAACAAACAGTGGTGGCTGGGTTCCAATAAAATTACATATATGGACAATTTATAAAATGTGATTTGACAGGAAAATTGAGAGGTGAGAAGGGACAGAAGACAAACAAACAACTGCTCCTTTTCCACCATCATCTGGTGTAAATACAGATGGCCACTCACTGGAGATATACGGCTAGATATTCAAGTTACCTGGAGAACTCTGAGGTGATGAACAGGGAGAACAGCGAGGAGAGAAACTGTACCCTGGGTGGAAGGCAGATTGCAGTGGGACATATGACATAATCTCTTCTTCAAAGAGACTGAAAAATGAAAAAAAAAAATGAAGTTGGTTCTCTATGAGAGAAAATTGATGAATTCTCACAAGAAAACAATAACACTTTGGTCCAGCTATAGAATCAAAAAGATTGGTACATCCCTTCATGAAAATATTCAGTGTTATTTATTTTTCTAAACAAAGTACAATTCTTTTACATCCTTGTTAATATTTTGACAATATAGGATCTCTCCCCTCAGGTATGGTAACTGTAGCTATTGTACCATCAAAGCACCCATAGTCTTCTGTCATCCACTGTTTTTATCCTTCCCCCTTTGGATGTCAGTATGCATAACTTTCAAGAGTTGATTTGATGTTTGTTTTATCTGACTCTTTGATTTCTCTCTCTTCCTCATATGAGTGACAAAAGTTAGTGCTTATCTTTCTCCTTCTGGCTTATTTTTGTTAGCATAATCCCATCAAGCTCCATCCATGTTGCTGCAATTGGAATGAGTTTATCTTTTTTTTTAATAACTGGGTAGTAATCCATTGTGTATGGAACACCACATCTTGTCTATGTGTCAGTTTTTGGCATTTAGATTGTTTTCATATTTTGGCTACTGAAAACAGTGATGCAGTAAATATAATAGTGCAGTTTTACTTTCAATTTTATGTTTTCCTAGTATCCTTGTGTAGGTATCTATGAATGGAAATGTTGGATTATATGACAGATTCATTTTTAATCTTTTGAGGAACTTCCACATTGCTTTCCATAGGGGCTTGACTACTCTATGTTATCACTAATAGTGTAAGAAGGTGCTTTTTTTTTTTTTTTTTAATTCATACCCTTACCAGAGGTTGTTGTTTCTGGTCTTTTCAACATGAGTAATTCTCACTGGTATGAAAAGTCATATCATTGTGATTTTAATTTGCATTTTTTTGATGATAAATTATGAGATTTTGTCATGTACATTTTGGAAATCTGTCTTTGTGGAAGTGCCTACTTAGCTCTTCTGTCTGTTGGGATTGTTTTCTTTTTGTTGAATTATATGTGTTCGTTGTATATCTGATCTCTGTTCAGTGGTATATTTGCAATTTTTTTTTCTGAATAGTCAAATATTTCTTCATTTTGGTAAGTCTCTTTCACTGTGCACAAGCTTTTTAGTTTTATATAAACCTGGTTGTTTATATTGTCCTTTGTTTTCTTTACTATTGGGGATGAATCCATAAAGATAGCTCTGAGTTTTTTACTTGTGTGTTCTTCTATGTATTATATGGTTTGGGCTTGCTCTTACATCCAAGTCCTTTATCCATTTTGAGATGATTTTGGTGTATGGTGTGAGATAGTGACCTACTTACATTCTTTTGTATGTTGCAATCCAGTTATTCCAGCACCATTTATTACAAAGGCTTTCCTTGTTTCAATGTATATTTCTTGCTTCTTTGTCATAGATTATCTGTCCATATATGAGCGGTTTTATTTCTGAACTCTTGGTCTGTATGTCTGTTTTTTTTATAGTACTACATCTTAATTATTATGGATTTATAGTATAATTTAAAGTATGGACATGGAGTACCACTATTTTCCCTGTTTTTCTCATGAGTGCTCTGACTATTCGTAGTCTTTTGCCGTTTCATATGAATTTTAGGGATATTTGTTACATTTCTTCGAAGAATGCCATTGAAGTTTTTTTTTTAATCTATTTATTTATTTATACAGAAATGGAGTACTGGCAAGAGATGCAGGGGCAGTGAGAGGATTCACCAGAGACAGAGTGGGGAGCAAAACAGGCAGATCAACGAAGTACACTGGTAAGGGGAGCAGCCGCAAGACAGAGAAGTGTGCTGCACCATGTGGATCACCTCTGGGCCAGGGATCAAATTCGCACTGAAGCCACTGCCACTAGCTTGCAGTGCTGCGTCCTTACCCATTGCCCACCAGGGAGGGCTTGCCATTGAGGTTTTATGGGAATTGCATTAAATCTGTAAATTCCTTTGGGTAGTATGGTCATTTCGAAAGTGTTGATTCTTCTATTCCATGAGCAGGAAATATCTTTCCATTTCTTATTGCCTTTTTCTTTTGACAATATTTTATAGTTTTCCTTGTATTGGTTTTTTCCTAGGTTTTTTTTTTAATTTGTATAATTTTAAATGGGATGGCTTTCTTAATTTCTTCTGCTTCTAGTTTAGTACTTGTATATAAGAAGGCAACTGATTTTTCTGTGTTGATTTTTCTGACTGCCACTTTGCTGAATTGTTTACTGTTTTAATCAGTTGTTCATTGAGTATTTAATGTTTTTTAGGTATATTATAATATCACATGCAAAAAATGATAGCTTTATTTCTTTTTTAAAAAAATTATTCATTCATACAGAACTGGGGTACAAGCCAGAGGTGCAGGGGCGGTGAGAGGCTTCACCAGAGACTGAGAAGCAGAACAGGCAGATCAATGAAGTACACGCTGAGGGGAACAGACAGCTCAGGAGAGGTTTACCTGCCATGTAGATCACTTCCAGTGCTAGGGTTTGAACTCATACCAAAGTGGTTGCGGCTAGTTTGCAGTGCTGCGTCCTAACCTGTTGCACTACCAGGGCCAACAATAGCTTTATTTCTTTCCCAATTTGGGATATTATTATTTTTCTTTCTCTTACCTACTTGTTATAACTAAAACTTCTAATATATACTAAATGTAGTGGTGAGAGTTGACATTTGTCCTGTATTGATCTTAGTGGATAGACTTTTAAGTTTTCCACCATTGAGAATGGTGGAATCATTATGTATTTAGCCATAGCTTATAACCATTTTTTTTTTAAAGATTTATTTATTTATGCATACAGAACTGGGGTACAGGCCAGAGATGTGGAGGGTGAGAGGATTCACCAGAGACCGATTGGGGAGCAGAACAGGCAGATCGACGAAGTACACTGCTGAGGGGAACAGCGGGCTGGTCAGGAGAGGTCTGCCGCGCCATGTGGTCACCTCCGGGGCAGGCGGGATCGAACTCATGCAGAAGTGGCTTTAGTTTCTTAGTGCTGCGCTTTAACCTGCTGCGCCACCAGGGAGGGCCCGCTTATAACCATTTTTAATTAAAAATTTATTTTTTTCTGATATCGACATTGGTATACCTGTCTTCTTTTGGGTTTCATTTACTTCTCAAATCGCTTTTCAGCTGTTTACATTGAGCTTATTTTTGTCTTTGGAGATAAATTTTGAATACTAGAGACAGCAGGAGATTGTATTCTGTCTTCTAATTCAACAAAATAATTCTGTTTCTAACTTGTGAATTTAGTCTGTGGACATTTAGAGTGATTATTACTATATGAAAATCCGTTGCTGCTGTTTTGTCTTTAGTTTTGTGGTTGTATCTCTTTCTTTTTTAGTTCTTTTTGTGTTTTTCTATTTTGCTTAGCTATTACTGTTCCTGTCAATATTTCTTGGAGGCATGGGTCTGCTTTTTGTAAATCCCTTTATTATTTCTTTGTCTGAACAGGTCTTTACTTCTCCCTTGTTTCTAAATAGATACAAGATATTGCAAGATAGGACATTCTTAGTTGGCAGTTTTTATCTCTAACTTTTTCAATCATATTTTCTATTCTCTCTTTGCCCACAATGTTTTTTTCTGTAAAGTCAATGGTAGCCTAACCTGGGTTCCTTTACAGATTACTGGCTTTCCCCCCAATGTGTCCACAGCATATTCTTTCTTTGAATTGAACTTTTAGAAGTTTCACTATTATGTGCCTTGATGTTGATCTCATTTTGTTTAAGTACCCTGTTTTTCTTTCAGCTTTCTTGATTTGTATACTTTCTTTTTAAAGTTTGGGGCTTTTTACCCTTATTCCTCCCAATTCCTTTTTGTCTCTCTCTCCCTCTGAGGTCCTCATTATATATATTACCTTTCCTCATGGTATCATTGTGTTTTTTATGGTGTCATGAAATGTTTCTTCATCAATTATTATTTTTATTTCATTTCTCTTTTTATGCTACCATGTTGCTTCTTCATAAAAATACATATTCAAGTTCAATGATTCACTTCTCTATTTGGTTTATCATACTTTTGTAATGTTCTATTGTATTCTTCATCTCCTCTTTTGAACTTTTTTCACTTTGTGCCTTCTTTATTTCATTATTTGGAGTATAATTTTTGGATGTTTCAATGATTTTTATTTCTCTGGATATATTTTTTTTTTAGATTTCTCACACATCCTTGATCTACTTGATCTACTTTCCACTTTCCTTTTTTTTTTTTTAAAAAAAAAAAAAGATTTATTTATATTACAGAACTGGGGTACAGGCCAGAGGTGCAGGGGCAGTGAGAGGATTCACCAGAGACAAGAGTGGGGAGCAGAACAGGCAGATTGAGAAGTACACTGCTGAGGGGAGCAGTGGGTGGGTCAGTAGCGGTCTGCCATGCCATGTGCTCACCTCCAGGCTGGCGGGGATAGAACTCATGCGGAAGTGGCTTTAGCTTCTTAATGCTGTGCTTTAACCCACTGCACCACCAGGGAGGGCCCCCATTTTCCTTTTTTTTAAGAAAGATTTATTTATGCATATAAGAACTGGGATATAAACCAGAGGTGGGGGGGCAATGAGAGGATTCAACAGGGAGAGTTGGAAGCAGAACAGTCAGATCTACCAAAATACACTGCTGAGGGGAGCAACAGGCAAGATAGGAGAGACCTGCTGTATCATGTGGGTTAGCTCCCTGGCCAGCCTGGGATTGAACTCATGCTGTAGTGGCTGGCAGTAGTTTGATAGCACTGTCTTTAGTGTGATAACACTACCTACACCACCAGGGAGTCCCTTGACCCACATTTCTGTGTCTTTTCTTTATGATGGAACATTTATGTCTTTGTGATTGGATTCTGAAGATTTTTTTCTCCCTTTCTGTGATGTAGTCCCCTTGGGAGCCCTGTGGCTTTTCTTTGGTGCTATTCTGTCTCATTGCTGTTTTCAATAGCTACTACTGTGTGTTTGGTCTTTGCTGGACATGTCTTCATATTTCCTATATGAGCTGAAATGCTCACCAAATGGAAACTGGAGGTTTCTTCTGTCTGCCTGGGCCCTGTGTGGTCCAGGCTGTGTCCTGTGCCAGTTCTTGAGGTGCTGGTGAATGGGCCTGACATCATAGATATGTCTCAAAGGGTGGCTGAATGTGACTATGATTGAATAGTGCCATACACTAATTAGATTTGAGCCTTTACTGGTTCCTGAGGCACTGATTTATGAACTGAAGGCCAGGGGCACTTCCTGGATGGTAGTTTAATGCTGAGTGCCACTGCAGTACTCAGTGTTATTTTAATCTCTAACTAATATTACAACAAAATCTCCATCAAGTGCCATATGTAAATCTCGATATCCTAATTGTAATCTAAAGAAGGTGATTGATAGCAGGTAAAAGTGTGGGATCCTATTTCAGTTAGACACTAGGATATTCTAGAATAAATGGTAAATGATTCAATTCAGTCTGTATTGGAGAAGAATTACTAGGGGAATTTTTCAGAACACTTTAAGGTGTAGTGCCTTACCTCAGCAAAATGACTAGATCTGCATCACAGGACAACTTTTCAAGTCCATGATTACCCTCAGTCCGAATATAATGAATTTTCTCCCTAGAATTATGGGGAAAGAAAATAAGAGTTATACACCAACACACAAACTAAATAACAAGTTAATTTTGATCCCTTTCTTCTACTTCAATGTGACTCAGCAGCAATATCCTAATGCCCAAGGTACTTCATGGTATTTCAAGTGCATATTGTCAGTTCCCATGGCACATTTCAAGGGATAAAATTTCTGCAGATTCACTGTGGCAGAAACTCCAGAATACATCAAAATCAAAGTTGCAATAAACAGGAAGAGAGCTGAGTGAGAACTGTTGAAGTAGTGCTGTGCTATGGGTCTTGGAAAATAAGCAGAGGAAGATTGTTGGGGAGTCTTTTCCACATATAACTGATGGAAAATGTGTACTTGCCACACTGAGCACAGATAGGGTCTGGTCTGCAGTACACATGAGTGTCTTCCATGTCAGTTTGAACATAGACATTAATTCTGTTTAATTTTAATTAACACATTATGACCCTTTTACAAATTCACATGCCAAATTGGCACATTACTCTCAGTAATTATATGGATAAATAATATTAATTTTGATTAAATGATTTTTTAAATTTTGCTTTTCTTGACATTATATTAAAATATTAAACACAATACCTATGGTATAAATAAACACAATACCTATGGTATAAATAAACACAATACCTATGGTATAAATAAACTACTATATGCATAATATATTACAAAATTCATATAAATGTATGTTCATGGCATGAAATGAATGCTTCTTTGAAGTTAATTTTTCCCCCTTTAAAAAATATCTTTTAAAAAAATATAATTTACAACAATCTTCATTTTGTACATTTTTTCAATCTCAGTTGTAATCCTCAAGGGCTTCTCACCACCAATTTACCCATGTGCCATCACCATAGTCCTGTGTGTTCTTTCTACCAGTTTTGATGCTATTCCCCTCTGCAGCACTGCAGAATGTGTCTGGCTAAGAGTTGCTTGTTGATTTTAGTTTTTTCTGTATCACAATTATATTTTTTCTTTTCCCTGCTCCCTTACACTCTGCTATGAGAGAAACTATCTGGTATTTTTCTTTTTCTTTCTGGCTTACTTCACTAAGCATGATCCCTTCCAGTTCCATCCATGTTGCAGCAAAAGGCATGAATTTATCTTTTTTGATTGCTGAGTAATATTCCATTGTATATATGTAACATATCTTTCTAACCCAGCCCTCTGTTTTTGGGTATGTGGGTTTATTCTACATCTCCCCTATTGTAAATAGAGCAGCAATAAACATTGGGGTACTGGTGTCCTTTTGAATCAATGTTTTTGTGTCTTTTGGGTAGATACCTAGGAGCGGGATTGCTGGGTCATATGAAAGCTCTATTTTTAGCCCTTGAGAAGCCTCTAAAAAAGCTTTCGATATGGACAAAGGAGCAAAGAATATGCAATGGAACAAAGATAGTTTGTTCAGCAAATGGTGCTGGGAAAACTGAACAGCTATTTGCAAAAAACATTAAGCTAGACTACTACCACACACCATGCACAAAAACCAACTCAAAATGGATTAAAGAACTATACATAAGACCCAAAACAATAAAATATCTAGAAGAGGACCCTCCCTGGTGGCACAGCATGTTAAATCACAGCACCAAGAAGCTAAAGCCTCTTCAGCATGAATTCAATTCCCGCTCGCCCCGGAGTTGTTACACATGGTGCTGCAGACCTCTCCTGACTCACCTGCTGCTTCCCTCTGTAGTGAACTTCCTCAGTCAGCCTGTTATGCACCCCACTGTTTCTGGTGAATCCTCTCACTGCACCTGTACCTCTGGCCTGTACCCCAGTTATGTATGTATGAATAAATAAATCTTCAAAAAAAATGTCTAGAAGAAAATGTAGGCAGAACTCTGCATGACATACACCTCAGTAATGTCATTAAAGATATATCACCCAAAGCAAGGATAGTGAAGGAAAGGTTAAACAATGGTTTTAAGAGCTTCTGTACAACAAGAGAGACACTACAAAAAACAAAGAGACACTCCACTGACTGGGAGAAAATATTTGCACACAATACTAATGACAAAGTACTGATCACAAAGGTACACAAAGAGCTGACTAAACTCAACAAAAATAAAGTGAACAACCCCATCAAAAAATGGGCAGAAGCTCTAAAAGACAATTCTCCATAGAATAAATGAAAATGAAGCCAGGCTACTACCTCACACCATGCACAAAAACCAACTTGAAATGTATTAAAGAATTGGACATAAGACCTGAAACCATAAAATATCTAGAAGAAAAGGTAGGTGAAACTCCGCATGACATACACCTCAATAGTATCTTTAAAGATACATCACCCAAAGCAAGGATAGGGAAGGAGAGGAGGATTTATTCCAGGGGCACAAGAATGGTTCAACACCCAAAAAATCAATTAATTTAATTCAACACATCAACAAAAAGAAAAATAAAAAACAAGATGATCTTATCTATAGATGCCAAGAAATAAATTGATAAGCCCAGCATCCATTTATGAAAAAGATTCTTGAAATTCTTGGGGTAGAAGGAACATAACTTAATAAAGGTCATATACTACAAACCCATAGCCAATGTCATTCTCAATGGTGAAAAGCTGAAACCCTTTCCCTTAAGGTCAGGAAAAAGACAAGGATGTCCAATCTCATTACTATATTTCAAAATAATACTGGAACTCCTTGTCAGAGCATTAAGACAAGGAAAAGGCATACAAATTATCCAAATAGGGAAAGAAGAAATAAGGCTATCACTATTTGCACATGATATGATAATATACAAAACCATAGAAAAGCTTTATCAAAATAATCAATCAGTTTAGTGAAGTAGCAGGATACAAAATCAACACACCAAAATCAGTGGTCTTCATATATTCAATCAAAATGAAGAAGAAATCAAGAAAACCTTTCCCTTTATAATTGTAACAAAAAATATCAAATACTTGGGAATAAACCTAACAAAAGAATAAATGACCTTTACAAAGAATATTATAAAACATTGTTAAAAGAAGTAGAAGAAGACTATTAACATTTTTTTCCAAAGAAATTGAAAGATATCCCTTGCTCTTGAATTGGAAGAATTAACATTATTAAAATGACCATTCTCCCAAAATCAATTTATAGATTCAATGCTATTCCAATAAAAAATTCAGTGGCATTTTTTCAATGAAATAGAACAAATACTGATGAAATTGATATGGACCCACAGCCAAGGCTCTCCTGAATATGGAGGGGATTGGAGATAATACATTCCCAGACTTCAAACTATACCGCAAATACATAATAATCAAAACTGCACAGTATTGCAACAAGAACAGATATACAGACCAATAAAACCAATGGAATAAAATAAAAACCCCAGACTTAAGTCCACAGTTTTATGGACAGCTAATTTTTTATTATTATTACATCATTTTGTGCCCTTTTAATCTCAGCTGCAATCCCCGTAGACTTCCTATCACCAATTTACACATGTGCCATCACCATAGTCCTGTGACTATGGTCTCCCCGCCCCCCATTTTTGACCCCATTCCCCACTCCACCCCTGTAAATTGTCTCTGGTATATAACTGTTCATTATTATTTTTCTCCTCTTGGTCCTTTGTGCTTTTGCTATGAGTGAAATCATCCGGAATTTCTCTTTTTCTTTCTGGCTTATTTCACTAAGCATGATCCTTTCCAACTTTACCCATGTTGCTGCAAAAGTCATGAGTTTATCTTTTTGACTGCTGAGTAATATTTCACTATATATGTACCACATCTTTTTAATCCAGTCATCTACTTTTGGGCATTTGGGTTGATTACATGTCTTTCCTATTGTAAATAAATTATCAATAAACATGGGGTGTCTTTTTGAATCAGTGTATTTGTGTTTTTTGTGTAGATACCTAGCAGTGGGATTGCTGGGTCATATGGAAGTTCCATGCTTAGCAGTTTGAGGAACCTCCAGTTTTCCACAGTGGCTGTACTAGTTTGCATTCCCACCAGCAGTGCAGGAGAATTCCTTTCTCCATATCCTCACTGACATTTGTTGTTGATAGTTATTTTAAGATGTGCCATTCTCACAGATATGAGGTGGCATCTCATTGTGGTTTTAATTTGAATCTCCCTTATTACAAGTGATGTTGCACATTTTTTCATAAGCTTGTTGGCCATCTGCATTTCCTCTTTGCAGAAGTGTCTTTTTAGTTCTTCTGCCAATTTTTTGATGGGGTTGTTCATTTTATTTTTGTTGAGTTTCATTAGTTCTATGTGTATCTTTGTGATCAATCCTTTATCACTAGTATTGTGTGAGGAAATTTTTCCCAATCAGTATGATGTCTGTTTTTTGTAATGTCTCTTTTGCTGTACAGAAGCTCTTTAACTTGATTTAGTCCTATCTGTTTATCCTTCCCTTCACTATCATTGTGTTGGGTGCTGTATCTTTAAAGATGTTACTAAGGGGACTTCCTGAAGATGGCCACAGAGTAAAGATGCAGAGATCACCGTGTCCAAGCCTGCATAGGAAATGAGAACTGAAAACGGACTATAGACTCACTTACTACAAGTTTCAACCCAAACGAAAACACCCTAGACTCACTAGAAGGTAGATAACTGAGAGGGAATCGGGGATTGGGGAGTTCCCAGAAGGGAACTCTGGGGAAAACCCAGGCCCCTGGAAGTTCTGCAGGCTGCTGGAGCAGCTTTGCCCCACGCTAAACCCTGGAGGTAAAGCTGGAC